GCTTCTCCCTCTGACCCTCCCCCCTCTCATGTGCTGTCTGTCTCTCTCATTCTCTCTGTCTCAAATAAATAAATAAAATCTTTAAAAAAAAAAAGATAGCATTCATTTAAAAAAAAAAAGGGTGAACTTTCTACTAACATACCTAATAAGCACCTGATAAAGTGCCAATTCTTACTCTTCAATTCAAATCCTTCTTAACCTTAATGGCATATCATTTTACTATAATTAAAATCATTTTCAACTCTACACCAATCCTTTTGATTATGGCATAGAGTCCCATGCCTGGTCTTCCAGGAATCAAAATCAGAAATCATAGAAAAATGGAGAAAAAGATTAATCTAATTCTAGTTTCATTCAAGTCATTATTCTGATTGTTAAAATAAAAAACCTTTTCATGCAAAAGTCCATTTTGACTCCATTTCCATAAGCATACTTGGAAAACTGAATAACTTCCCTGTTAAAATATGAATGTTATAGCCATAGAAAAACAGAAAACATTAAATTATAAAGGTAAAATACTTTTTCAGTAACATTACTCTTATATATTTTATTTTAAAAATTACAAATTAAAAAATTTAATATGCTTTAAAACAATCTAACATGCCTTAAAACAGGCACGTAAGCAGACTGAAGGCCCCTAAATATAAGTGCTCCCAAATGGAAGTTTTGCCTTGTTGGGCAGCTCCAATCTTTTCATAGTTATTGTATTCTTGCAGGAAAGGAAAATGCCTTGGCTTTTACTGTTATTCATGCCTGGGGAACTCATCGCCAACTGGCTTCATTTCGGAATATACCAAGCATGAGCACTGGCAGAATGCACACGGGGAGAGGTAAGTGTGTTAACATTTTAAATAACAAGCCACTTAATTCTGCCTCCAAAAGTTCCAACAACTCTCTACATAATCAAACAAAACAAACATTGAGTCTAGATTATAAAATAAATAAACACTGTAACCTTACCTAAGCAGTAATTCTCTCAGTTTCACAAAAAGCTCTTTACTTTGAAAATGTAGAAAAATCAATGCTTGAGTTATCCTCAATAACTCTATTGGTTTATAGTTATCCAAATGTTTATTCAGAATTGAAGCAATTCTATAAAGAATGATAAAACATATATTACAATCAACTCACTCATTTTGTATTAAGTATTTACTGAGGAGCTCTTTCATGCCAGACATGCTCTATGTTGGAGAAGCAGCAATGAATGAAATAAGGTTTCCCGCTCTTATAGAGCAATGTCAAAATGGTGACAGAAATGTAAACAATTAAGATAGAATGACAGAAGAGCTATCAATGAAGTGTAAATATTTAATTATTAATAGCAATAGGAGAGAAAAGCATAAAGTTTCACTTTCTAAATAAAAAAAACTCACAGAACAGCCATCAAATTCCACATCTTCCCCAAAAAGAAATCTTTACCAAGAGTTACTAACAATTAGCAAAACTGATTTAATTTTCTTCCTTAATTCACTGGCCCTCTAATGGAATGGATTAAAAGCAATAAGAAATGCTAAGAGGGAATATGTTGGAAGAAATGGGGCAGAAGGAATACTTTAAAAAGGATCATATAATGGATAATAAAACATTAAGTATATATAATCTGAACTATGTATTTTTTTCTTAAATTTCTTTAAAAAAAAAAGACAATATATGGCAGTATGATTTCAAGGTAATTGTGGTGTGAAACAATTCAGGTTCACATAGATGCTCTCTACTTTCCTAGATTATGATCCTCTGCTTGAAAATAACAACAGCAGCAAATGAAATGAAAAATGCTATAAACAATCTAAACATCTCTATTTTAAAAAACAAACTATTTAGATAATGAACAACGCCTAAGTGTTAATTCCTTATTTCTTCAAAACCAACAGCTAGATTATAGAAAAAAACATAATGCATCCTCAAAAAAAGTTACTTATGGATGACAACTAAACATTAACACCATGAATTTCAGGAAAGACTACTTTTTAATCAGATGTGAATTTCTGCTTTCCATCTCTTCCATTGCTCTCATCACTGCCAGGGCCTGCTGTCTGGTTAGCTCCTCTGACATCAGTAACAGAGTTGATTTAAGTCTAGAAGTAAAGAAAAATATTTTTATGTTGAAGAACTGATGATTAGCTTATAAAAAGTTCTTTTTTAAAATAAGTTCTTAGGGGGCGCCTGGGTGGCTCAGTTGGTTAAGCGACTGCCTTCGGCTCAGGTCATGATCCTGGAGTCCCTGGATCGAGTCCCGCATCGGGCTCCCTGCT